GCGCAGAAGCATGGACAATGACAACATCCGATGAGGCGGCTCTTGGGTTGTTTGAGAGAAAGATTTTGCGGAACATTTACGGTCCTTTACGCGTTGGCGACGGCGAGTACCGCAGACGATGGAACTATGAGCTGTATGAGCTTGACAACGATATGGACATAGTGCAGTGAATTAAAATACAGCGGCTTCGCTGGCTTGGTCATGTCGTTCGAATGGACACCGACGCTCCAGCTCTGAAAGTATTCAACTCGGAACCCGCTGGTGGTAGCAGAGGAAGAGGGAGGCCCCCACTGCGATGGAAAGATCAGGTGGAAAAGGACTTGGCTTCACTTGGCGTTTCCAATTGGCGTCAGTTGGCACAGAGGAGAAACGACTGGCGTGCTTTGCTGAACTCGGCCAAAATCGCTTAGGCGGTTACAGCGCCAAAAAAGGAGAAGAAGAATCTTCAGTAGTTACTAAAATATCGCAGTTTTCGTATTTCTGAAAATTACCGTTATATGGGAGGTAGGCGTGGTTATTGTCCGATTTTTCCCATTTTCAATACCATCCGTCCTACGCCCGAAAGAAGTACACGTACCAAGTTTAGTTAATATATATTAATTTTTACTCGAGTTATCGTGTGCACAGACGGACGGACAGACGGACGGACGTCATCCTGATCATTTATATATACATTTGTCTATATCTATCTCGATTCGTTTTGCCTGTTACAAACAACCCCTATGTGAACAAAGTTATAATACCCTTGTGCATAAGTGCGCTCGGGTATAAAAAACAACACTTACGGGGCAATGGTTATTGTAAGAACAACATTTTTTTCTATGAATCGACATACTTTAAGCATTGTTGACGCTATTTCCATTTGAATGAGGAAATAGCGTCAATGACTTTATTTCCAAATATTTGTTGACCTTATTTCGCTTTTGAAAAGGTAATAATGTCAATTGACTTTATTTCGCACCAGGGTGGGGTCAATTGACCTTATTTCCATTGACCTTATTACCTGTCACCCTCCTCTTTCAGATTGACTGGCTGAACCGTGGACCAAAGATACCGACAACAAAGAATGACTAGTATAACTATGTAATGAAGTTTTTAAGACTGACTAGGCATACATACTATATTTGTTTGATGGAAATATATAGTATTTTCTAATGTTTAATTGAAAAAACATGTCTAGGGGATTTTTAATCTTACGTAACATCTGCGGCGGGGGGAGAGGGATCAATTAAATCTTACAATTTATTACATGAGGGGAGTGGGAGGTTCAATACAGGTGAAAACTCCCTCCCTGGAAAAATTTTTACCAATAGCAATTCGCCAACAAGAAAACAGCTGATCAAAAACAGATGGTTGGAATTTACGCAAATCCCTAAATTGAATCTGATGGTTTGGAAGTTAAAATAGTAAAATGCGACTAATTATACTTGTAAGAAGTAAGTAATTATTCGTTTAGTCAGTGAACTGTGTCAGGATAAGACTTCGGGATTTCTTTTCTTACGTTTTCGATTTTATAGTTTTGAATGTAAACAAAATTTCTATCAGCTGTTGCAATTTTCTGCAAATTTTCTGTTCGCATACTATTCTGGATATTTTTCTCTTGTGATAGAACAGATGACATTTTTCTGGAAATTTTCTGTTGGAAATTTTTTACTAGAAATTTTAAATGAACGTATCTATTGACTAACCAACATTTAACAGAACTGTTACGATTGGCTTTAACTGGCGTAAAACCAGATTTTGCAAATTTGGCCAAAAGGATCTTTTCAATTTTCTTTAATATCTATCTTACGTACATTAGAATAATAATAAAATTATCAAATATTTTTCATTTCTAATAACTTTTATTTAAAAATGATTTTTTTTTTTTTGTGGCCCTTTGTAGCATTTAGAATTTACATGTGGCTCTTTTCGGCCTCGGCCTTGCCCACCCCTGCTCTAAAGTATATTAGACCTTTAAAAAAAGTTTGATTCTTCGAAATTTACATCAGTACTTAACTTCAATAATTTAGATAATAAATTTTTGCAATTCGGAATTTCCTTTCCATTAAATTTATTAAAAATTACTTTCAGTTTTTGTCAACAAGGAATTCTGGTTTAGGTTTTATCAGACCACCACTTGAAATTTGGGCTATCCATGTAAATGAGTGGGAGATTTTCTTTTCATATTCGGTTCGGTTGGAGGTTTAAAATAACGCACCAGTTTGTTGTACTGGTTCTTGGCTCCTTTTCATTTTATTATGTATTTAAAATCAGTCGCACAGCTCACAATTGAAAATTTAAATTAAAAATAATTAAAATTTTGAATAGGCTAGTGTCAATAGTTGACATTTCAGTCGCAGTTCAAAAGAGAGAAATGTCAAAATCACTTCTACCTTGTTATGCTTTGCTTGAGCTGTAAAAGGCCCGACACACGCATTGATTTATTGGCCAACCAGTTGACTAACCTACTTAACGAAATTCCCTACAAACGCACCAACCAGTTGGCCGATTTCATTTGAGTGACAGTTTTTGGATTGTGAACAACACAACAGCACTGGTAAAGTTTTAAGCTATGCTAGGAATGCTTCTGATTTTTGTGTCTTTGTTATTGCTACCGCACCGAGCAACAAGTTTACCAACCAGCCTCAAAAATCAAAAATTTTTGATTTTTCTCCAACCTGACGAACAACTTGACGTAGTTTTGCCAACTTGCCTACACACGTCTTATTTACCACAAACTTCTACCCTGCAAAAAATGGCTGACCATATCAAAAAGAAACTATCGATTGTACGCTCGCATACATATGTACATACACACATACATCAAAGAAAATTTTACTTTATTGTTAGCTGTGGTGCAAAATAGAGAAGAAGTCGGTGAATTTAAAGAAAGAATTAATGTATTTAATTTGTATATAAAAAAAATTGCAAAAAACCTTATTTAGCGCTATGTGGATAGAGAAGAAAACATTTGAGGCCGGTGTGCTTAGGCCGACTGTGGAGTCAGTGACTACAATGCTGAAATACAGGGCAACGCCAACGTGGGACTCCAGCAGAACCTAGGAATGGAGGTAGAAAGACCAAACGGCGCCGAGGAATTTATTTTTAGTAGGAATTTTTTTTCAGACCCCTATGAAAAAATAGAAGAATTTTCTGAACTCAGTACCCCTGAAAAAGCTTGCGAAATCAAGTTAATATTCGACAGTACATTTTTACATATAAAAAAAAACACCTTAACAAACTCTACTTGTGTCAATGTTATTGTGGCTTAGTAACATTTTATTTTTAATATTTTTATTATTGTTTATTAGGAAAAATTGAAAAAGCAACAAAGTCTAAGCGGTAGAAGTTATAGCAGCTATTTCGGAGATCACCACATCTCCTCATAAGACTTCTTTTTTCTAGACTCCAGCAGGGATCGAACCTGAGCTATGTTCACCCCGTAAACAATCTCGGTAATAAACAATCGTGGTACAAAGCTCAATAAAAAATATTAAAAATAAAATGTTAATAAGCCACAAACATTGACAAATACATAGTTTAGGAAGAGCCTGCCTGAAACTATACAATAAAGCAAATAAGCAAATGGATGTATAGAATTGACAACAACAGCCACGCTGTCAAGTTTAACTAACGGCAAATCAGCTGCACTTGATACTAGTTGCTTGAATAAGGACAATGAATTAGCAACAAGAGTTTACGGGGTGTACATAGCTCAGTGGTTAACGCTTCTGACTTTGCACATCGATTACGCAGGTTCGATCCCTGGTGAAGTCTAGAAAAAAGAAGTCTGCAAAAAGAATTATCGAAATCGGTTGACGTGATCCAAAGTTATGCGGTAACATACATAAAAAAATAAAATAAAAATAAAATAAAAAAATATAAAAATATTCCGACGAACTGATAACCTCCTACTTTTTTGGAAGTCGGTTAAAAATGTATAATTACAGGCTTATAAGCCTGAATATATGTTTGTATCGGCAGCTCCACACAGCTTGGACATATATTGTAACTTTAAACAAGTAAAAGTCGTAAACTAAGGCAATTTCCTATAAGACTGTAAATGATTTTCTAAATAGATTAAAACTTAATTAATTCAACCATGCAACCACTCGATTCTAGTGTATCAGTAGTTTATTTGGCTCAATATTATGACAATGCAGCAAAAGTTATTTAATATAAAAAATCGCCTTTCCATAAAATTTTTGTGTACTTTTTTCCATTGATAACCACGATATGTTTTATTTTTCTACTTTTTGAGGACAAAAATGATACAAATCCAGCAGTTTTAAATATTAATATTATTCTGAAAACACCAACTTCTTTAAAAATCGTGATAAAACGAATTACTAAAATGGAGTATTTTAGATACTATTTCCCAACGAATAGTATATAAAAATTAAAATCGGCAGCACTGAAAATAAGCATGCCGATCTTGTCAAAGTCACAACAAACACGTCGCTACTGACAACACCATGATACAAAACTAACCGCTAAACTGACGAAAAGTTTTAGTCAGTTTTGCCATTAATTTAACCGATAATCATAATTTAACCGATACGATGCTTCTTGCAGGGTAGCGGAAGGCCCGCTTGTTGGCCGATAAATCAATGCATGTGCGGGGCCTTTAAGTTTACACAAAACATCGATGCGTCTTTCGACTATTTACACCAGTGTTGCCGCGAATCATTTTTAGTGGTAGCTAAATTCCTTTTAAAAAGGGCTAAAGAGTTAAAAAAAAATACGTTGTGGCTAAGGGCCGGTTACTCAAAGTCTGGTTAACACTAACCTCTGGTTAAACATCGTTATCGACGTTACCGACTACCTGTTATATGAATGGAGTCGATTACGTCGATAACAATGTTTAACCGGAGATAAGTGTTAACCAGACATTGAGTAATCGGCCCTAAGAATGGTAGCTAAAATTTTTTACTTCCATGCATGTATATATAAAAGGGCAAAAACTCTATGCCAGCTTGCTGGCACCATCAAGTTGTTAGAATCACTAACTCGGCTCGAAGCATGTAACATACCAGCTTGCTGGTACAATATTTATTTCTTTACAAATGAGGTATAAGAAAGACCGAAATGATTAGAGCCGAAATTTCATAATATTTTCGGTAAAATATATAAAGAAACGAGCTTATTTCACGATTCGCGACACCAGTGTGCTGGTACAATCATAAAATTTTCAAATCGTTTTTGATGTCGCAACAGCAGCCGGTACAAAAACACCACAAGAACATACACGGTCAATCGGCTGGCACCAACACATGATAGTGCCAGCATGCTGGATGCATATTAAGAGCCGTAAACTTATCTATTTAAATGTATAGTTAGGTCGTTAATAGATAAGTTAATGGCCCTAACACTTTTATAGTTTATATAGAAACGTAACCCTGTGGGGAAAGTCTCTAGTTTTGAACTGGTGCGCTCGTAGTACATTTAGAACCACTACTAGTTCACTATAAATCTCTTTTGCATGCAAACAACTGGCGAATTTAACACAGCGATGTCATAGGAATTGGAAATTGTCCCCCGCAGCATTACCTTTTCTATAGTTCAGAACCAGTCCTAAATTCGACATATGGGATCTAGTTCGCTTTGCACCCCATTTTCTATAGTTTCGAACCAGTTGTAAACGAAAAAAGTAACAAGATGTTTTCTTTTTGGGTTACCATGATAGCAATTTTTATTATTTGCAGAGAAATGTATTTTCAATCTGAAATCAAATTTATTTGAATGAATGTAAATTAAATTGTGCATTTGAAAACACAGGTGCTGACTGTTATTGGTTATATTCCAGAAGGTCCCATAATGTTAAGATGTTAACACAAATATTAGTTTTGTATTACCAAACTATGAAAAAGCATTTGCGACGTGCAGACTGGAAGCGTATTTGAACGAAAAACCCGCCAAGCAAAAATCTATTTAAAGTAAACAAGCCCCCCGCTGCATCCCTTTTTCAGTAGTTTCGAACTAGTTCAAAATTCGCCAGATGAGATCTAGTTCGTTCTGCATCCCTTTTTCTATAGTTTTGAACCAGTTCTAAATTCGTCAGTTTAGATATAGATTCCTAAAATTGTTTTTTAAAAGTACCACATATCGCTGCTCTTGAACTGGTGGCGATCTAGTTACTATCGGACTGGTTCGTTTTTGGCGATAAAGATCTAGTACGGGACTACAAATTTGGTTCAGCAGTTCGGGGTTTCCCAACAGGGAAGGAACATGCAATGCATATACACACATACATAAATATCAGTGGTGCACGCGGGAGTCTCCGGGAGCTACTCGGTTTTCACATAGAGGACGTGTGTGCGCAGCTAGCGAACTGTTGCGATGCTAACAGCGAATTAGTTTGCGTTTGCTAGTATACTAAGACAACAATTTTGCGCTTGTATTGGTAGCTCTGTCGACGCTGTTCACCACTGATATATATACATGTATATATCAGTCTTTCTTAGCTTAAAAATTCATTTCATACATAAATGAAAAAAACGAGAAAATATTAAGTATATACAACTTTTTCATGTCAAGTATGAATAGATTTTCCAAAGGGCTAGGGGCAATTTTAAATTTGTGTGGCCAAAAAAGAATGTGGTACCAAGCCACCAAAGGGCTGCAACGGCAACACTTGTCGCGTTCATAAGACGTAGCTGTTTAGCTCATCTGCTACGAAACTGCTGGCAACTGTTGAACCCAACAATTACGTCTTAGAAACGGCTTGATGAATATGCTGCCAAATGAACAGCTGATAAATGTAAAAAAATGAAATTGCAACAAATAGAGATAGTTGCGCCGATACTATTTAGAATTCTACGCTGAGCGGCCGCCGTGTCGAAAAAATCGTTCAATGTTACAATGTATTAAACAGTGTAAAATTATATAGCAAACATCTTCAAAACATATACAGCCCGATTCTGAATAGGAACTCCCCGGGGATTTTCTATCTTTTTCCTTTCCTCCTATCATGAATAAAAATTTCCCAGAGGATTTTTTTTTCTTCTCCCTTTCCTCCTATTCTAAACGAACTTCGGAAAAGGGAAAATGTATTTCGGGAAAAAGTAGCTATCACGAATGCAAATCAAAGGGAGAATGTGATGACAGTTTTAAATAAATTTTCCGCCAGAAAAGTGTGAGGGAGCAGTACCCAAAAATGTAAGTATTTGCGAACTTTTTAATAGAAAACAATGTTAAACCATTTTTTAGGTCAAAAACTACAAACAAGAACCAATTAGAGATACTCATAAACCTTATGCAAGGTAATCCTGGCATTGCGCGTGGGTTTTATAGGGGCAGCAAGGAGGACTTAAACAGATTTTGGCGCAAAGCCGAAGCCGAACTGAATTCGGCTGGCCCACCATCTAAAAATGTTGCAGAGTGGAAAAAGGTAGCTACTTATGCTGAATATACTTTGTTCGAATAAATTAATGCCCAATATCTCAGGTTTGGGCAGATCAGAAAAAATACGTCCGGCAGAAAGCAGCCAACAACAACAGGCAAAGAAAAGGCACAGGTGGTGGTCCTAATATTGAGTACAAATTCTCTGCCACCGAGAGTGCGATATTTGAATTGATTGGAATGAAAGAATCGTTGATAGGTGTAGCAAAGCCCTTTGGATTGGACGTGGTTGAGACAGACGAAACAGAAGAACCACTACCTCAACGAGAAAAAACACTATCTCAACGAGAAGAAACACTACCGCAACGACAGGAAACAATAACTACACGAAATGAAGCATTTGAAGAAATAGAGGAGGAAATTGAAATATGTGGTATTGGCGAAAACGAGCATAGTTCAGTGAAATTTTGTAAGCCTACACCTGTGCGAAAGGACGTGCCAAAGCAAAAAGGCCATGCTTCTGGTGTGTTAGCCGAAGAGCTTAATATTCAGCGCGAAATGTGTAATATATTAAAGAACGGTATGATTGAGCAAGAGCGAAGCATGAAGAAGCTATATCGGACGCTTGACAGCTTGTATGTTGTCCAAAAACAACATTTTAAAACGATGGAACAAATAAAATCTCCTGAGCTAGAAGAAATTAAACGCCATAATGTAACTATGGAAAAGCTTAGACTCAGGAAATCGAGGCAAAACTAGAGGAAAATCTATTGCTGCGGGAGATAGAGGAATTATCCAAATATGCAACTAAATAACAATGTTAATCTTTTAATAGTTTTGGTAGTCTTTTAAGAGTTTTGATGCAATGAAATGTGATTTTATTATAGAAGGCTGATTTTTTTTTTTTGTTTCGAGAATACGCATACAGTTACTTACAGAAGTATTTATTAATTTTCAATTAAAATACAGCTCATTCTATAGCAATAACTATATAAATCAATCTTGCAAATTTTTTACAAAATTCGCAACAGTTCGTCGAATTTCAAAAAAGTATCAAATAATCCGATTCTATTTCAGTGTAGTCATTACGCGAATAGGACTTATCGTTTATTTTTGGCAATTTTTTTGTTGACGGTATCGCCCGTTTTCTTCCATATAAAAATAAATTTGGTTCGTGCGTTAAAATTGCCAAAAATGAACGATAAGTCCTATTCACGTAATGACTACACTGAAATAGAATCAGCTACAAAACTGCATACTCCAATAAAATTCTTAGGGCTGGTTTCTCCAACTCAACTTAAACTTAGCTTGGACTTAGTCAAGAATAAGGTGATTAAAAACTAGGCTAACTTTTGGCGCAGGTTAGCGTAGATGGTGAAAATGAATAAGTCCAAGTTCATTTTCACCATCTGGACTAACCTAAGCCAAAAGTTAGCCTACTTTTTAATCATTGCGAGTGAGCTTCGTTGAACTTCATTTCCGACGAATCATCTCCTGGTGATCTGTAGGGCGCCAAAAGCCATGGCTCCAATGGATAGCTGGCATCTCCTATACGACGATATTTGGGTATAATAATTTGCGGTCTAATTTCACATTCACTACATTTACCTAGGAGCCAAAAATTTCCTGAATTCCGCAAATACTCTTGTTCGAAGTGAATTCTTAATGCACTGTTGTTCCACACAAAGGAGTCGTGAGCAGCACCAGGATGCGAGGCGTCTACATATTGAATTCGAAGCTCATGGTCGCACATCTATAGATAAGTTTAAATTAGTTGAATACGTTTTGCAAATTATAATCAAAGTAACCTACAAGCATAACATTTAAACTATAGTATCCCTCTCTGTTATAATATAAATGCTGGTTATGAGAAGGTGCAATGATACGCACATGCGTACCGTCAATACATCCCACAACGCTCGGAATGCTGTGCTTCTGAAAAAATTGTAGCGATATTTGCCGTCTTTCTTCAGCTTTACATACTTTTATCCACTTTGGACATAAATGGGTTTCGAAAACTTCCAGAACTTCTTCGAGGACTTTGCTGAAGGTTGATTGAGCCAGAGAGACGTCTACATGTTTCCCGATTCCTGTTTGGTATCAGCCTTCAGCAAAAAAGCGCAAAGATGCGCTAAGTTTAATAATAGCCGAAACGCCACATAGCTTTTTCCTTTCCCGCGTGTGCAATACCAGGACGTCGAGTAAATATTTGAAAGCAGCTTTATTTACTCTATAGTACTTCTCAAATCTAAAAAAATTAAAAAATTATGCAAATATTAATAAAAAAAGGTTGTTGAACGCACAAAGATTGCGGCAACTCGAGCGGATTTGTCTTATCGCGCAAATGTCTCCTTACAGCTCTTTGTGGCAGAATATTATCCTCCAATTCAGCAGCTTCTTCCTCTGCAACCATTCGGAAAGCTATAGTGTGCATTGTTTTAGACTTTTTTCCTGTTTTTTCACCAATCTTTAAACTTTTACTGAAAATAAAAAACTTTTTCAAATAATTTGCGCCTGTCAAAGATGTATGAAACAGCTGTTTCGAAGTTCGAATTTCCTACTCCCGAATTTTCGATGAAAAATTTACTCCCCGAGTGTTTAGAATTGGAGGATTTTTTTCTCGAGAAAAATAAAATCCTCAAGAAGAGAGCAAGCATGGCATACGATTTCGAAATGCAAAGGTTGATATGTTTTGCGAAAGTAAATTTGGAGTCAAAAGTTACCCCCAGATCTATTATTTCACTAACCCTTGTAAGGGGCGAGTTAGATAAATGGTATGAGGTTTCAATGACGTTAACGCGTTTTGAAAAAGTAATCTGAAAACATTTTTTTAAATTAAGAGTTAACCGATTGCTATTACACCATGTACTTAAATTATCCAAATCTAATTGCATCAGTTCAGAGTCATGGTGACTGTAAATGGGTGAATAAATTTTTAAATCATCCGCATATAGTAAAAATTTTACTGTAGAAAAACAGGAGCGAATGTCATTAATAAACAATAAGAAGAAAAGTGGACCTAAGATGCTTCCCTGTGGAACACCAGAGCAGGCAACGAAAGGAGAAGACCTGACATTGTCCACAATGACCCTACAACTGCGATTTCGTAGGTACGATTCAATCCAGTTTAGAAACACTGAGTGGAAACCCATACAGGCAAGCTTATTGACCAGGACTACATGGGAAACCCGATCAAATGCTTTAGAAAAGTCCGTATATACTGTGTCAACCTGACATCCAGACTGAAAAGCTGCAATGCAGTCATCAGAAAAAATAGCTAGGTTAGTCACAGTTGAGCGTCCCGGAAGAAAGCCATGTTGCTCTGGGCATACCATATTCTTAACGAAAAATATTAATTTTTCCTGGATGATGCATTCAAAAAGCTTTGACGTGGCGGAAAGTTTTGAAATGGGTCTGTAATTGCTAATGTCATTTTTATTGCCACTCTTGAAAATAGGTGTAACAAAAGCCACTTTCCACGGATCAATGAAAGTGCCCGAGGACAGGGAACTATTAAATATTAATAAGAGAGGATAAACAAGAGCTTCGCACTGCTTAAACAAAATTGCAGACAGACCATCAACATCGGTATTTGATGACTGTTTAAGTCGAGAGATGCCACTAACGATATCTTCGGAAGAAAGTTTAAGATTTCCAAAATCAATTGATGGTTGTATGTTGAAACGAATGTCTTCACCGTTATCAGAGTCAGACGCGAAGTTGGCCATGAAAAACTCAGCGAACAGATTTGCCGCATCAGCAGGAGAATCAACAGCTTTGTCGCCAAGGAAGAGAGAGGACGGAATATTCGACACAGACTTTTTTGACTTAACAAAACTCCAAAACGATTTTAGATTTGTTTTTAAGTTTTCTTCAAAACTTAAAATGTAATTTCTGTGCAAAAATTTATCTAGACAAGCGAACTTCTTTTCAAACTCTTTATACTTTTCGAAGAACACCATATTTTTACTATTTTTAAACTTGCGGAAAAACTTATTCCTCAGATTTCGAATTTTCATCAGGGCTGCATTATGCCAGGGAACTTTGTACCTCTTTTTTGAAACCAAAGGAATAGACTGTTTACAAATATCCACAACAGTTGTTCTAAATTTCTCGAAAGAACTGTTAGTGTCTAAGTTGTAAAACAAGCTATCCCAGTTAATTTCTAGAAATAGATTGTTCAAGTCAAAAAAGTTGCAACGCTTAAAATTAAAAGAAAGATATGATGTATCGTTTCTAACTTTGGCAAATTTATAAAATTCAAAAGTTATGACTAACGGAACATGATGCATGTCAGACTTCGTCACAGGTGAATCGCATTTTAGCAATGTGTAGTTTAAATTATTACTTAAAAATACTAAATCTAAGGTGCGACCAAGTAGATTTGGGTAACAATTAATTTGCCCTAAATCAATGCTTAAAAAGCTATCTATTAAATATATTTCATTCAGGCTAGTAACATCACTCGCTATTAATGAAGAACTGGAAGTATTCCGAGACCAATTTATGTTAGGAAGGTTGAAATCGCCTAGCACGCACAGATGGTCGCCTCCTAATTTGTTCAGAGCCAATGCAACGATGTTGTCGACATGCGCTGTATATAGGTCATGGCTACTGTTGGGCGGAATATACGAAGCACAAAGAAAAATTTAGTCTGAGGTGCCTCGGATAAGAACACAAAGTTGATCAAGCAGCGCATCATTATTATTAAGTGCAACCTCAGAAGCGTGATGTTTGCAGTGCACTGCGATGAGAACTCCACCTCCTCTAGCACATCCAGTGAGGTTGGCATTTCTATCCTTGCGGAAGACATTATAAAGCTTGGGGTCGAAGAACTCCTCGCTATTAAAGTTCTCATTTAACCACGTCTCAATGATAACAAAGACATCATAATCCTGATGTGAACTGAAAAGCCGCAAGAGCTGGGATTTTGTTCTAACACCAGCCATGTTTTGCATGTAAATTTTTTGGCCTCTGATTGTTCCACCGGGCCCAACCGATTGCCGTTGGACATCGGTTGGACCTCGTCGTTTTTTGGCCCAAATTTAAATGGCCGCACAGCTATATTTGTAGGCCATAGCTCTGGCACCAATAGCTTTTGAAGTGAGCTGGCTTCAACACCCAGCTTAAAGTTAATATAACGCAGAGATTTGGGATCCACGCCAGCCTTTACCAATGGAATACAGACGATAGAGTTTTCGTCTATCCCGGTATGTTGAGAAATGTGCGATGTTAATTTTTCGGATGTAACCGAAGCAGAGAAAGGCGAGATATGCAACCACTTCCTTTTCATAACAGCACTTAAATCACCATGAATTGCCTACCCAACAACTAAAGGTTGCGCTAGTAAAGGTAAATTATGTTGTTTACCATTATTTGGGGTGGGTCTAATGTTGGCATTTGCAATTGCAGCATTATTGTTGCTTTCAGCACTATCCGGATTTGAGCTAGTACCTGCTTCAGCATTATCATTGTTGGGAGCGCGTTCTCGGTTGATTTGGTTTTTATTATTATTTCTTCGTTTGTTCTTTTTTTTATTTTGCACTCTTTTCCATTCGTTTTGGTTACCAACAACTGCAGGAGGGTTGTCAACAATAACCGAAGTAGGCGAAGAAAATTGAGAGGCAGGGGCGTTAGGAATTGGCGTCGCAGTTGAAATGTTAGCAGCAGCATCGTTGGGCAGCATTATTGCCGGTAGATGAGTAGCTGTACCAGCTGATATAATAACAGCATTAGCATCGACGTTGACAGAGCCAGTA